ATGCTTAATAAATGTTAGTTGCCAGTGCTTCTGCCTTTAAGGGAAGAAATTCTGGACTTTGAAGAAGCAGTCTATAGGAAATTTCCTCTTTTCGAGATTCAGATATACTAGGAACATCTTTTAGCATACATTATTCTATGTTATACATATTCTCTATTTCCCACTACCTATTTAAAAATTATATTCTGGGCCGGCGCTGTGGCTCACTTGGTTAATCCTCCGCCTGCAGTGCCGGCATCCCATATGGGTGCTGGGTTCTAGTCCCGGTCGCTCCTCTTCCAGTCCAGCTCTCTGCTGTGGCTCAGGAAAGCAGTGGAGGATGGCCCAAGTGCTTGGGCCCTTGCACCCCATGGGAGACCAGGAAGAGGCACCTGGCTCCTGGCTTCAGATTGGCACAGCTCTGGCGGTCGCAGCCATTTGGGGAGTGAACCAACGGAAGGAAGACCTTTCTCTCTCTCTCTCTCTCTCTCTCTCTCTCTCACTGTCTGTAACTCTACCTGTCAAAAAAAATTTATATTCCACCTGAGAAAGTTCTAAAATGTTTGGTAATGATCTGTCCTAGCTTCTCATATATTGTATTCTGTTTGTTAAGCATGTTGTGTGTGGATGGTATGATCAAATTAAATTTTATCAAAAACCTGCAAAGACAATTGAAATTGTCTGAGATTTGTAAAGCTCTGTGCTAGGATGGTACTAATTCTGTAAATGATACTTAGTGAAAACAAACAAAAATAATTATTTAACACGGTTCTACATTTTCTTTTGATGTATAATGTTCCAGATTATTTTCATGTGATAATACACCCAAAGAGTGAAAATAGAAAAATACTAATAGGTCAAGGGAAAGTCTTTATTCTTTTGAGATCTTTATCATCAGTTTGAGAGGTAGTTCACTACAATCAGGATTTCTAATTGCATTATCTAATTTTAAGGTAGAGTGTAAGTGTTCTCAGGGAGACAAGAAAATTGGGTGTTTTATTTCTTTTAAAAATCAAAATTATTTTATTCAAAAGGTAAGCTTTGAATTTCAGTCATGGTTTTCCTTTTGGCTCCTTAGCAGGGATTTCTGAACCACAGTCACTGCTTCCAGCATTGATGTATGCACACAGGTTCCATTAATGTTGATTGGAGCTCTGAGAGCGTCACAGGCCTAGATCCGCAGGTGGAAGCTTGGCCTCACATCTCTGATAGTGGTACGTGGCTTTCCCATCAGCCAGACACAGGAAACCTCCAAGCCTGCTGATGTCTTCAATAGCCTTCCTAAATGTTCTTTCTGTTGTCTATGTCCACTCAATGTGAAGCTTTCCAATCCATTACTGTGTCTGAGAGGCTCTAAGTTATAACAGAAAAAAAATCAATTTAGAGGTCATTTATTCAAACTCCTTTATTTTGTGGAGTGGGTGGTGTAGCTTGGAGGGGTTAAATACCCAGCTAGAGTCCTCCTATTTGCTGAGTAGTGACAATACTGGAAAGACAATCTAGGTCAATTTTCTTAGTACATTTGCTGCTGCTATAACAGAATGCCACAGAAAGCATAATTGATAAAGAAAATTTATTTCTTACAGATTCTGGGGGCTTAGGTTTCCAAGAGCATGTGTGAGTCTGATATCCAGCCAGGGCCACTGTTCCACATCAAGACATGATCAGCAAGTACATGCAAAAGAGAGAGGAAAATGGAACCCAACCATCCTTTTATTAGGAGCTCATTCCTTCAATAACTAACTCACTTAGCTTGGTATTAATCAATTCATGAGGGAAGAACTCTCATGACTGAATCACTTTTTTTTTTTTTTTGACAGGCAGAGTTAGACAGTGAGAGAGAGAGACAGAGAGAAGGGTCTTCTTTCTGTTGGTTCACCCCCAAAATGGCCGCTACAGCCGGCACGCTGCGCCAATCCGAAGCCAGGAGCCAGGTGCTTCTCCTGGTCTCCCATGCGGGTGCAGGGCCCAAGCACTTGGGCCATCCTCCGCTGCCTTCCTGGGCCACAGCAGAGAGCTGGACTGGAAGAGGAGCGACCGGGACAGAATCCAGCGCCCCAACCGGAACTAGAACCCGGTGTGCCGGTGCTGCAGGCGGAGGATTAGCCTAATGAGCCGCGGCTCTGGCCTGACTGGATTACTTTTAAAAGTCCTATCTCTTGGCCAGCACTGCAGCTCACTAGGCTAATCCTCCGCCTGCAGCGCTGGCACCCTGGGGTTCTAGTCCTGGTCGCCCCTCTTCCAGTCCAGCTCTCTGCTGTGGCCAGGGAGTGCAGTGGAGGATGGCCCAAGTGCTTGGGCCTTGCACCCGCATGGGAGACCAGGAGAAGCACCTGGCTCCTGGCTTCGGATTGGCGCAGCGTGCCGGCCGTAGCGGCGATTTTGGGGGTGAACCAACAGAAAGAAGACCCTTCTCTCTGTCTCTCTCTCTCTCACTGTCTAACTCTGCCTGTCAAAAAAAAAAAAAAAAAAGTCCTATCTCTTAATATTTTTATGATGACAATTAAATGTCAATAAGAGTTTGGTAGGGGGCATTCAAACCATAGCATCTTCCAGTTTCTGGATGGAAGTTCTAGTATCCAGGACTTCCTTTACAAATGAAGGCAAAGAAGTTGCCTTTCCTTTTATTTCAAAATATCTTTTTTTCATGCTTGAAGTTTGGAACATGCAGAGAGGAATGTCTGTGTTTTACAACCCTTGGTGGTTGTTAATTGTACTTGGCAAGTCAGTCTGTTCCCAAAACAGCTCAACAAAGGTTCTTGCAAAACGACTGAGGTCCTTGTAGCCAAGAAGCTGGGTAAAAAAACCGATTAAACATTCTTTTTAATCAGAGTCTGCCCATGTCCATATACTGATGGCTTTGATCCTCTTCAAAAGCTCTAATGAAGATTGCCAAAGAATTCCTTTAAGTATGCATATCATTAATACTATTTACACGAGGAAGTCTAGTAGAATCAAACAGAGTCCCCACAAAGGGTGTATCAAGCCTCACATTTCAGTGAAACTGATTTTCAGAAATTATGATTATTTTCCTTTCCTTATTACTCTAAGTTTTGTTGAGTCCTTTTTCTGCCATTATATCTAATGTTATGAATGGAATAACTTCTCTGCTTTGGATAAAGCACTGTTACTATTCCTTTCCATTCATACCATTTGTTTTATTTCAAGTAAGCAGGACTTTTGATAAGCTACCTTTTTATTATGCCTTTAAGGTGGAAACAATCTTCCTGTTAACCACCTTATGTCCTGAGCAACTTTTAACTCTTCATTGTGACTCTTCTATTTCAAGACCCTAAAAGCACCTGATATTCTTCCAAGCTGTCTTTCAGGTTTTCAGTCTCATAATAGGGAGACATGTGAATCATAGCCACCCGAGACTGGTCTAGACCCTACGCCTGTCCAGATGGATCAGAAAGTATCCAATGCTCATTATTTACTTCATTTTAATATTAAAAGCCCTGTCCCAAGAGGAGCTTAAGCCTTATTACCCTAATGTGCAACCTGTGCTGGCTTATATTTCTAAACTGCATCTACATGAACTTGTGCCCACCCATGTGATGACAAGAACTCCCCTTCTTACATATTCATTTCCCGCTACAAGAAAGGGAATCCATTTCTCCTGAGAAATGATTCCCCGTGGTCTCCTTATTAGCTGCAAATAAATTAATTTGCATGACAAATCCTTCTGGTGCATTTCTTGTTTGAACTCCCTGTTCTTGCAAAAAACACCATGCATATAACATGTAGAATTCTGGTTTGTTTAAAACACACCAGAAATATGGTGGAGCACTGAAAAGCCCCTATCCATGGGTATTTGAAATAGGTTAGAAGCTTGGTTTCTTCCCTCAAAAGGTTCATCAGAGGCAGCTAAGCTTGCAGATAATCCTTGAGGTAACTTGGGAGTCCCACACACTGAATTTTCTGAAGTGAGCATCTTCCACTGATCCCTTACATTTTGGAATTATGTTTACCTTCTTTTCTCAGATCCTTTGATACTCAGATCTGTCTCATGTGGCATTTTGATGTGTGAAAGGAACCCTAACACTTTTACTTTTCAAAACCAAAGTCTTAGATCAAATAAAGGCTACATATCCCTCAACCAGACATTTAAAATTCTCATCCATAACACTGTTCTAAAATTCTAGATGAAAAGAGGGCATTCTACTGCCTAAGTCTGATAAATAAAAAATTAATGTGGCTACTCCGGGGACATGGTTATATTGTTTTGTAATTCTATGCTCATACTCACGGTCATTCAAGGAGTCAAATATCTATTTCTTCACACCAGTTTGTCAATATTAAAATTTTTAAACCCACTAACATCTAGATTTTTTTCCTAAATTTAAGTAGCAGGCAGCTGATATCTCTTCCAACATTTATAAATTTCTTCTTTTTTTTTCCAAGCCAAACTGTATCCAGTTTTATTAAAGATTCTTTTCATAAACAATCATGGTATTTCAGGCAGGACATGGGCAGACAATCGTGAACAGTATACAACTTTCAACTCCCTTCTTCAATGGACGACCAAAATCAGAAAGCCACTGTAAAACCCAATGAAGTCTCCACGACGCTCTGGAAAGGGGGAGTTTAGAGCGAGGGCTGACATTTCACATTTAGCATGTTGTTTAACAACTTTTCACAAGCCGACCCTAACTTTCAGGAAATGAAATGAAATGGCAGAATGGTCAATCTGAAGATCCACAATCTAGAGAAGGAACCGCTGCTCTTTCCAGGCCCCATCTCAGGGGTCTCTGTGAAGTCCAGACTGCCCGTCGTGCTGGTACCGAATTGTCTGGGGTCAGGTCCCCACAGGTCTCTGGGTCTGAGGGAGTTAAGTCCATGCTGAAGGCAGACGGGGCGGGGGGGGGGGAGAGGGAGAGGGCATAAAATCAAATTTAGTTGTTCCACACCGCGGGGTGTGTGCCCTGGTGGCTGTGCCAAAGGCAGGGAATCCCTCCGGGGAGCCGAGAGGAGTCTCTCAGACCTACAGGGGACGGTGTTTCCCGCATCGATCCAGCTCCAGAGACCTGTTAGTGACCTCTGCCCCTTCCCCCAAAACAACAATGAAGTGTTCTGTGTGCTAACAACATAGCTTAAAAAAAACTAAAACAAAATTCTGCATTTTTATAAAACTTGATAAAAAATAGTATTTCAAACTGTACAGTCACCAGAAGTACACAGTTATCAAAAGCGCACACACTTCACTTGGCGTCTCCAGCACCTTCCGCTCTCTGTGCCTGGTCTGCTTTGGCGTCTCCGTTCTCTGCAGGGTTATTCCCGTCCTTGCCAGCATCCGCTTTTCCCTTTTTCCCTTTGGGCACCTTCTCTCCCTTTTTTGCAGGGGCCTTTTTAGGCTTGGGTTCTGGCTTTGGAGGAGCTGGTTTAGCGGATCTTCTCTGTGGTTCGTCCTTCACCTTGGCCTTATCTCCTTTAGCAGCCCCTTCGGCCTTTCTCTTGGGCATGGTGGCGGTGGCGGCGGCGGCGGCAGGACGTAGGCGCTGGGCGCGGGGATGCAGCGGCGCGCGGGCTTTGGTCGGTCCAGGGGTCGTCCTCGCCTCTTCTTCTTCACACTGCTCCTATAAATTTCTTCTTGCATCATCTTGGGGCCTCTCTGGCCACCGGAATCCCAGAACTTCCGGTGTGTCTGATTATTGCCTAATACAACACCTGGCAGCTACTTGTCTGCCATATGTCTCCCATCCAATTGCAGGACACGCTCATTTGGCCAAGCAAGTGATCCACTCCTTTTTGGTATTGTCAGGCTCTGCTCTTTCCATTTCCACAGCCACAACACTTCTTTAATTCAAAATGGCCTTTGGGGCTTAGAAAATAGTCTCATTTGTGGTCTCTCAACTTCATCTCTTACTACTTGCCAATGTTCTAATGACTTCTAGCTAGATATCTTCCAAAAATAAATTGGGCCAGAATATTATGCAGTTAAAAACACTTGATATCTTCATAATAAAAATATCTGAACTCCTCAATGTGGCCTGTGGTAATAAAAATATCTGAACTCCTCAATGTGGCCTGTGGTGTACCTGTTTTCTCCCTGCTTCTCCAACATCGTTAAATTCCTGTGTTCCCTGCCTACAATACTTTAATTTTCTCTGGTAGACCTTTGCATATGGTAGGTTCTTCCTATTTCAAAGTCAACTTTCCTATTTTCCATTTTTTTTTTTCTGTCTGAACCCACCTTCTCACCACTCTTTCATGATGTCTGACTTCTTGTTAACTTTGAGATCTCTTCTTCAGTGTCTGTTACTCAGAGAGAAGCAGTGGCGGAGCTGACCAAGTTCCTGCCAACCTTTGTGATTTCTTTACATGGTCCATGGTCATTTCTGGGAAGAGGTTGCCCTATCAGCCACAGTATTTTGCATTCAGATGGGTTCATGTGACCAGTCTTCTCCCTTGAAATGTGAGCAGAAGTGATATAATCACTTCTTTTTTTTTTTTTTAAAGATTTATTTATTTATTTGAAAGTCAGAGTTACACAGAGAGAAGGACAGGCAGAGAGAGAGAGAGAGAGAGGTCTTCCATCTGCTGGTTCACTCCCCAATTGGCCGTAACAGCTGGAGCTGCGCCGATCCAAAGCCAGGAGCCAGGAGCTTCTTCTAGGTCTCCCACGTGGTGCAGGGACCCAAGGACTTGGGCCATCTTCTACTGCTTTTCCAGGTCACAGCAGAGAGCTGAATTGGAAGTGGAGCAGCCAGGACTCGAACCGACTCCCATATGGGATTCTGGCACTGCATGTGGCGGCTTTACCCACTACGCCACAGTGCCAGCCCCCATATAATCATTTCTGTACTGAAGGGCTTGAAAAAGAGGCAGTGGATTTTCTACTTTCTGTACGTTGGCTGGAAACGAAGGACCTTGAGATCCTAGGAAATGACACAGGCAGCAGATGGAAGGATCCTGAGTCGCTGGATTGCCGTGTGAAAGGCTGCCTGCTGAAAAGCTGATTGTACTGCATTTGAATGGGAAATCAAAATCTGTTGTGTTATTGTGTGTGACGTTTTGGAGCTTATTAGAGCAGCTAGTAGCATGGCCTTCCCAAACACCCAACATGCCGAAGCTCTAGGGAGAGGCTTTTTCCCTACTCTCCTCTGCTGCCACTGCTCCAGTGTTCTCAATCATTGTACCTTGTTCATTTTTTTCATAGCACATAAAAGTTATACGTAATTTGTTTATATCAATTTTCTTCTTTTGTCTCCCCCACTAGTCTATATATATTCCACATCTACAGTGAAAGTTATCCTGTGTCTAATACTGTGCCTAGGGCCGGAGCCGCGGCTCACTTGGCTAATCCTCCACCTGTGGCGCCGGCATCTGGGTTCTAGTCCCTGTCGGGGCGCCGGATTCTGTCCCGGTTGCCCCTCTTCCAGGCCAGCTCTCTGCTGTGGCCAGGGAGTGCAGTGGAGGATGGCCCAAGTGCTTGGGCCCTGCACCCCATGGGAGACCAGGAGAAGCACCTGGCTCCTGCCTTTGGATCAGCGCGGTGCGCCGGCTGCAGCACGCTGGCCGCGGCGGCCATTGGAGGGTGAACCAACGGCAAAAAAGGAAGACCTTTCTCTCTGTCTCTCTCTCTCTCACTGTCCACTCTGCCTGTCAAAAAAAAAAAAAAAATACTGTGCCTAGCACAGTATTCAATAAATAATAATAGGATGAATTTAAAATGAGAATAAAAGAAAAGATTTTATAGTGCTTAGTAAAGCTAGAAAACAGGCATAGAGAACAGATATCACCCAGCTGGATCCAGGGTGGAGGCTCGAGGAATTAGGTGGACTCTGTGGAGGTGAAGATGTCTGGATCCTTAGTATACCACCACAAGTTATGCTAATAGGCAGCTTGTCTGAATCTTGTTAGGATATAAGTGGTCACATAGGCTGTAGAAGCAACCCAAACTAACTATTATATCCATTGCTTGTATGGTTCTTTACTGTTTGAAAAAGAACTTACATGGGGGTCGAAATTGTGGTGTTAAGGGATGAAGCTGCTGCCTGCCATGCCTGCATTCTGTATGTGTGTGTTGATTTGTGTCTCAACTGCTCCACTTCCAATGATGCTCCCTGTTAATGGCCTGGCAAAGAAAGCAGCATGAGATAGCCCCAGTGCCTGGGCCCTTGCCCAGATGTGGGAGACACGGATGAAGCCTTCGCCTGGCCTTGGCCCCACCCAGCCCTGGCCATTGTGGTCATCTGGGGAGGGAATCAATGGATGAAGATCTGTCTCTCTGTCTTTCTCTGTAATTCTGACTTTTTTTTTTTTTTTTGGACAGGCAGAGTTAGACAGTGAGAGAGAGAGAGAGACAGAGAGAGAGAGAGAAAGGTCTTTCTTCCATTGGTTCACCCCCAAAATGGCTGCTACGGCGGGTGCGCTGCGCTGATCTGAAGCCAGGAGCCAGGTGCTTCCTCCTGGTCTCCCATGCGGGTGCAGGGCCCAAGCACTTTGGGCCATCCTCCACTGCCTTCTGGGTCACAGCAGACAGCTGGACTAGAAGAGGGGAGACCGGGACAGAATCCGGCACCCCAACCGGGACTAGAATCCAGGGTGCTGGCGCCGCAGGCGGAGGATTAGCCTAGTGAGCTGCAGCGCCGACCTGCATAGTGTTTTGAGAGATCTTTTTAGGCTTTGCCCCCAGCCACACTCTGGATACTTTTTGTTCTTGTTTGGCACTTGTTTTGTTGCTGGGTCCTAACTCTCTGCCCAGACTTTTTTCTTATTGATTACTCAGAGCTACTACTTACTTGGTTTTTAAATTTTCCCTAGACATAGTGCTATGTTCACACCCAGCAACCGTAGGCCATCTATGTGTGCTCGTGTGAGCTCAGACTTACAGCCTCAGCGCTGACCCATCTGGAAGAGACTGGGCTTCTCTTCGTCATGGTGAGTAAGACACAGCCCTTTTGTACTTACTATAGGAGAAACCAATTTGAATTAGATTGGTGAAAGGCTATAATTATAGATCATTCATAGAAAAGTGCCATCTTATTAATTTGAGGCTTGCATAATGAATGGCAAAATCAGTACACAGTCTCTTCCATTTCCAGGCGTAGTGCTGTCAGGAACTCCGAAGGCTGGGTTTGTACCGTTCAGTAACAGTACTGGAGAGCTGTTTATATCGAGAGGCCAGTCACATAAATGTTTTCTGCTGCTTGAAAGTGAAATTGAGTTTTAGCAAATTGTAAAATACAATAACCTTGAGGGAATGAAGAAAAGAATTGTAAATTTTATCCCACGATCAGTAAAGTTTGTCAGTTCCATGCCGGTTTCACCTCTCTATTACTCACATGTTGCTGGGTACACAGACGCCTTCTCTGTGTCTTACGGAGAGGACATGCAGACATTGCTTCTAGCTACTGCAGACAGAAAGCTTGCAAATGTTTGGAATATCTATTGAAGTTTCATAGGAGCAGATGGTATAAATGTGTGATATTTGAACTTCAAAATTGCTTTGAAGAAGCATACTTGTCTCAAGTGTCCAGAGAACAGAGGTTTGTCTTAAGAAAATTGGTTAAGAATGTGACAATTTGAAGTTCAAGAAGTTCTGGTCAGATGAGGGATTAACTATAATGTAGTTGCTATTTAACACATAGGTTAAACCACTGCGGCCATCTCTTTAGACAAGCTTCGTAAATTTCTGGAGATATTAAACTCCAAGATCCTAAATGCCCAAGGCAAAGAAAGTAAAATAACTAATATAGTTACAAGGTCTCACAGGAAGCTAAGTAGATTATTAACATTCATAAGAAAGTTTCAAAATTAATGACCTAGAGAGAATAATATTTGGGTTTAATGATTCTAACAAAAGACATGTCTCTCGTAATGAGTAAATAATGTCCATTTGATTTTTACCTTGTGGTGGGGCTGGCTCTGGCGGATTAGTAAAGTAGTTAACATCCTTTATAACCTTGGAAAAGCGCTGTGTCAAGTAGTCTCTTTATGTGTGGCTTCAATTTCTGAAACTTTATGGAATCAAATTCTGATCTGTGGATCATAAATCAGAATTTTTGGGAGAAGCAAAGAGTTCACTTAACCAACAGATTATTTTCTGAAAGCAAGATATATCTGGCTTTATTATATCCACACCCCACCATTAAAACGAACCAAACATGTGTGAGTGCTGTTGTAATGCCGTTTGGACTGGGTTATCTCTGCTCCTTAGTCACTGTGTGTGATGGGAGTCAGTTGAAATGCAACTTCAAGTTGCATTTAGTTTAATTCATTATATTTTCTTCCCAAATGAAGGCTCCTCTTCATCTCCTTTACAATTGATACTGCTGGGGGCCAGCACTGTGGTGCAGTGGGTTAAAGCACTGGTCTGCAGCGCTGGCATCGCATATGGGTGCCGGTTCAAGTCCCGGCTGCTCCACTTCCAATCCCACTCTCTGCTATGGCCTGGAAAAGCAGTAGAAGATGGCCCAAGTTTGGACCCTGGCACCCACGTGGGAGACCTGGGAGAAACTCCTGGTTCCTGGCTTTGGATCAGCATAGCTCTGGCCGCTGCGGCCATCTGGGGAGTGAACCAGTGGATGGAAGACCTTTCTCTCTCTCTCTGCCTCTGCTTCTCTGTAA